TCCAATTGATACTACTGTCGAGCAAAATTCGGGCCAACATAACTTTTTAAGGAGAATCATTTTGCAGTTTTAATTTCCATTTTCATAAACAGCATTCAAAACTCTATCGATTTATCTGGGTCTGGATTCAAAGTTCCAAGATAAGTAGACTACCCCTCCCTGGTCAGACAACCATTTCGCACAGCTCCTTTCTTGCTGCCTTTTTGGAGTCTTACATTTTTTGAAATCCAAAAACTTCGCCCTTTCTTCGCCAAACTCGCCCTATTCTCTATCATAGCTTCCATTATTTCACTCAAAATAGATAACTCCAAATTCATGTGAACTGTGCCTTTACTGTGCTGCCAAGAGTTTACTGCCAACGTGATCTCTCGTATTGATCGCAGCAGAACCTATGTTGGAGAACGGAGACAGATAAGGGGAAGATAGGAAGGTTGAGATAAAGAGTAAAAGTCGCAATCTGGCCACAATCCCGATCTTGCAGTTCCTCGCAAACAAGGATTCAATGTCAGTGGGTAAACTCCTGCAATGGAAGAAGAAGAAAGGAACATGCAATGTGAACTAAAGAAGACCGTCTGTCTAAACCGGAAAGGACGTCAAACACTGTAGGTCGCAGGCTTCAAAGCAGCAAAGTTACGTCTCAACGAAGTTTTCAGTGGGTCTCTCGAATTGAAAAAAACAAAAACAAGGGAAGAAATCGAACAATTGAGAAATCGAACAAGAGAAAAAAGAGGGTAGAACAAAAGAAAAGAGGACGAGAATTTAGAGGGTGGAAGGTGCAATGAGTAGGGAAATGCAAAATAATGCAAAATGTCCTAGAATCCAACCCAACTGGTTCTCACGAAGCAATTAAGACTCATTACTAGGTTATTACAACTGACGTCATGCTATGATACATCAGGTCAAATATTACGGAAAAAAAGAGACTGATCGGTAACCAAAAGGGTGAGAACAAAAGCCGTCAGACGACATGAACCTAAGAAATTTTGCCGCTGACAATATTCACAAAAGGACAGCAGTCTCTGCAATTATCTTCACCATGACAATCTCATGGAAAATGGTTTTGAATTCAAGAATAACAATTACTAGACTTCGTTTTCGATGAGATAAACCCAAAATTTCACGCGCATACCATCTTCATCAATGAGCAGAAATCGAGGATTGTCCTGATTGCTATGCAGCTCCTCTACGCATTGAAAAAGTTTTAAACAACAGCTTTGGAAAGTGCTCCAAGAATGGCATATGCCAAGATGATTATTATGCCTTACAAGAGATAAATAGATCCACGGCAACCATCTGATTATTCATTACCAGGGAAGGGGAGCATCACAACAAAACTCCCATCAATGAGCCACGGCCATATCCCTCCTAATACTAAGTCTGGACACCACAGTCAATGCATTCACATAGGACCATCCTCTTCATCCATCGAGGCTCAGGAACTGAATGAAAAGGAGATACCCTATATCAAGAACACCACGCGGTGATGGCCAAACGAATAATGTAGTGAAATGGATAGAGTTCACTGGAATTCGAAAAGATGCTGGTGCCGGTGTTAATGGTGCTCACTCCAGGTATACCTTACAGTAGAGAACCTGCGGCTGATGATACACTGGAGCTGTAACGAATAACATGCGAATCACTCCACTCCAATAAATAAAGACAACGAGATAGACGTAGGGATGAACGACATAGCAGAACGGCAAAGAGGTTGACCACGTCACAAAGCTGGTTCTTGTAATGTTGTTGAACAAAGCACAACGATTACGACGTCACGGGCACATGATGAGGAAAGTAGAGAGTCACACAATAACAAAAACGTTGGGGGCATCAAGAAAAGCCCAAGGAAAGTAAAATACGAAAGATGACCAAACAGCGACACCATCAGAATCAAGGTCACAAATCAAGTAAAGTTATGGGACCAAAGTGCTTCTTCTTCCATTGCGTTAAACCCACGCAATTGACGAATCCGCTACTTTTATTAGATGTCGCCACTTTTACCGATCGGCAGCATATTCTGCAGCTACCTCGGTTGCGTAGAGGTCCTTCATGGTAGCGTCCTTTATCTCATCTTAAGGCTCTTGGTGTCGCTTTGTTAGGGCTTCGAATTCCATGGCTTCTCTTATCGGATGATCTTGCGTTCTCCGCAGCATATGCTCATAACAATGAAGCCACCATCATGACTTTTCTGACGTCCTGACGTCCTCATTTGCAACCGTGTTCAGTAGCAGGCTCATATCAACTCCCTCATTTGTACCTAGTGAAATTGCCTTTCATGATCCCTGCCTATTGGTTGCCACTGGCAGTCGTGGAGCATCGTAGGCTCATAACTGCTCTGCAAAACTTTCCTTTCAACTTCGTGTAGCACCGCTGATTACTCCCAGGAACTTGCTCCACTTCATCCATGCCTCCTTTACTCGAGATTTTACAGCCTCACATACGCTACCATTGGCTTCCAGGTCACTTCCAGGGCATCGTAGGTCCTGCACTCTTCCCACGACTTTCCCATAGCAGCTCACGATTGGCTCCATGCACTCCTCCAAACTGTGAAATTTGATCTTCCTAACTTTTAGCTGAAGTTCATCTTCTGACACCACATCCTACCATTTCAGCAGCAACCCTTGGAATTTTTCCATACTCTCCGCTATCAAAGGGATGTCATCAGCGAACATCATGGATTTCAGTGGTCTCTTCATGAGTCCTCCTGTGATGTCATCCATTGTCATAAAGAAAAGGAACAGGCTCAGAGCTGACCCTCAGTAATCCCCAGCCCTACAGCAGTTCTGAGGGCGTGAGGTGCGCGCATGCTCATCTTGGAACCTTGGTACATGTCCCTCACCAAATAGATCACATGTTCTGGAACGTTACATCCTCGGAGAGCTCTCCAGACATTTGGTCGCGGTAGACGGTCGAACGCTTACTCCAAATCAGGGAATCAGGGAAGGGAAGGTAGCAGGGCCTGCCTCTCCCTGCATACTTATACAGGGTGCTGGGTATATCGAAGTCTCCAGTGAGACGGATTGTCAAGAGAGATTTCAGGCCGCTCCTATCGTATACAAAACTGCCACTTCATTTCCAACGAAAACCGGCATCGCAAGGTTGAAAAATGCAGAAGATTGCTGACCCGCCTCAGTCGTGACACGACCTCTCCATCCGACGAGAAAATTTTTACCATTGAGCCGGTTCTCAACCGCCAAAATGGCCGCGTTCTGGCAGAAAATATAAACTACTGAAAGTGCTATGTCTCGAGGAAAAATATTTGGAACAGCTGACTCTGCTCCAGTGATGGTTTGGAGGGGGGGGGGGGGGGGGGGGGGGGGAGAATCACGGCCACTGGGAAGACACCGTTGGTTTCCGTCGATACAGGTGTGAAAATTAATAAAGACGTTTATCTAAAAAACATACTGATAGACGTGTTGAAGCCCTGATCCGATTCTCACTTCGAAAACGATCCGTGGTGCTTCCAGCTGGACAGCGCTCCAGCCCACAAAGTCAAGCCGTCTAGGAGTGGCGCCGACGTGAGTTGACCGACCTCATTAGCGCCGAGGAATGGCCATCCTGCTCCCCAGACTTCAACCCCTCAACTTCTCTGCATGGTCTTCAATCGAAAGGAAGGCCTGCCGAGTTCGTCACTCCAATCTGTAGTCGTTGAAAGCAGCACTGAAGAAAGCCTGAGAAGAAATTGATGAAGGATACCTGCGTGCCACGTGCGAACATCGGCAATTGAAGGAGAGACTTCAAGCAGCTTATATTCGTGCCGATGGAGGATATTTTGACACTTAAATGTAAGTCATTGTCGACATAATGTAAGTGAATGTGTGCTGTGTGTGCAATGTCATTTGCCGCTCACAACGTAAAATACATTAGATTAAATAGGCGCCCATAATTTTGGGACACCCGTACTTCAACCGCTCTGCTATGACCTTCCTGACAAACATCCCAACTGTGCTCTCCACGATTTGGGATTCCTCCTACGTGGGATGGTTACGTTGTCCATGAACCGGGCTCTCAATGCTCCATGTTGGGAGCCTGTTCAATTATTTTCTCCATTTGTGCTTGATCTTGGCTGGCTTCTCCAGCCCTCACTGCCCCAATGTCATGAGTGCCAAGCTTTCGCCAGCCTATAGACGAACTTTCTTTCTTCTCTACAAGCAAGTTTCTCGTCAAGGCGCCCCGCTCTGTATTTGTTGCCTCGCTACTGCAGCCTTGGCATGTCTCTTGCATCTTCTGTTAACAGCTTGGTGTTCTGGAGTTTGCGTCTTGTGCCAACGATTATGATCATCTTTCTTCTTCTTTACGATTCTTTGGATCTCCAGAACCATGCCGCCATGACTCTCTAAATCCACCTGGAGTCCACACCAGCGGTTCTATTGCATATTTAGCATGATCCCGACAGCACTCCTCTGCTTTCGGGGAGGCGGTGGTTATATCCGCTAAGAGAGTCCCGAGCCAATTCACCTTGCAGTACTTAATTTTCTTTACAGTTTCGAGTAAGGATCTTCTTATGAGAACATGATTTCTTTCCGATTGCCTTCCTCCGCTGCAGTAGAT